GCTTTGTGGCCGCTGGCAGACACCAACCGCAGCACTGGTCTGCTGCTAAGAGGGTATTGCGTTATCTTGCAAGTACATCAGGTATGGGGTTAGTGCTAGGAGGACGCAGGCCAGTGGTCCTTACTGGACACACAGACGCTTCGTGGGCGGACGATGCTGAGACACTCAGGTCTTCCCAGGGCTACTGCTTCAGCCTTGGTTCAGGCGCCGTCTCGTGGAGAGCTACCCGCTCCTCGTCTGTTGCCCAGTCCAGCTGTGAGGCCGAGATCTACGCCGGTGCCATGGCGGCACAGGAGCTCCGCTGGCTGACTTTCTTGCTCACTAACTTAGGTGAGCGGCCTAGCTCTGCCCCGGTCCTGTACGCTGACAACAGGGCCATGATCCTCCTGTGTCAGGAGCCTCGACTCGAGGGCAGAGCAAAGCATATTCAGCTGCTGTACTTCCTCCTGCGCGAGCTACAGCAGCGCCGCCAGGCCCGCATAGTACACCTGGCCTTCGGTGCCAACACAGCTGATATCTTTTCGAAGGCGCTTGCGTCTAAAGATCATCAGCGGCACTGTGTACAGCTCGGTCTAGTCCCTGTAGCACCTCACTTGCTAGGATCTTGACCTTTGTACTGTCCTATATATCTATATTTATTCAGACTGGACTTGTGTCCTCTACCAGTGGCTGGACTAGTAGTGCCGCCCTTATCTTGTTCTTGCCGTTGCCTGTACTCCCTTTGACTGGTCTTCAGACCCTTGTCTCAGTGGCTGGACTAGTAGTGCCGCCCTGAGATGCTTGTTCATGACCTGCCCCTATGCAGTCTAGGGGGTGTGTCAAACATGTGTATCTCAGATATTTTGTATAGACTGTATAGGGTCATCTCTTAGAGGGTACAACACTTAGATATCTTCCCTGTATTCTCTCTCTCTAGTCATTCATTTCTCACTTTAACAATCGTCACTTGTGCGATCGACCCAGCGTACAAGGAAATCGACGGCTGATGTGTCTCGATGTCCCTGTATACGATGAGCGAGGATCTTGGACGGCGCTGTCGTCGGCTCGGTTACTGGGCTGGCCGTATGATTAATATGTTGACGGTCGAGATTGGTCGCACTCGGAACGAACGGTCACAAGAGACTGACGTGGAACGAATCATGAATTCGCCAGTCAGTCGGCAGTTGCAGTTGGGCGGTGACTGGTGTCACCATGCGGATGATGCAGAAGGGCCGCAAAATCTTGGTCGTAATTTATTTGGGATGGGGATTCTCGAATTCCTGGTGTCAAGCAGGACCAATTGACCAGGGACAAGTGTTAAGTCTCGGCGTCATCGGTCAGCTTGCTGCTTAGCCCTCTAGTTGGCTTTCAGGATGACATAGTCATAAAGTCACCAGTCCTAACCACTGGGACAAGAAATGATGTCATCAGGAGGGTTAGGCTCCATATATCCACCTTCCCCGATGAGAGCCTCCCTAGTACCCTCCCTAGATATAGAGAGAGGATCGACGGGGTTATCCCAGTGCCACGACACACCCCCCCGCTGGGATAGCGTGTACACCAGGAATTGAAGCTTGGAGGCTCCGACACCAAGTCATAAAGTCACCAGTCCTAACCACTGGGACAAAAAGGGATGTCATCAGAAGGGTTAGGCTCCATATATCCACCTTCCCCAAGGAAAGCCTCCCCAGTACCCTCCCTAGAGATAAAGAGAGGATCGACAGGGTTATCCAAGTGCCACGACACACCCCCCCACTGGGATAGCGTGTACACCAGGAATTGAACCCTGGATGGCTCTGACACCAAGTCATAAAGTCACCAGTCCTAACCACTGGGACAAAAAGGGATGTCATCAGGAGGGTAAGGCTCTATATATCCACCTTCCCCTAGGAAAGCCTCCCCAGTACTCTCCCTAGAGATAGAGAGAGGATCGACAGGGTTATCCCAGTGCCACGACAAACATCAGTGGCTTTTTGCTGGGACTGTCAGAGATTTTCGACGAGCCTCTGAGACCTTCGTGCCGGATTTTCTATCAGTGGTGATAGAGGGGTTGTCGGATCTATCCCGTAATTAAGGAAGAACGGGGACTGAGTAGTCGTGGCCGATGGGGCATTGTTGTACGCAAACTCGATCAAGGGAAGGGCGTCTTCCCATTGGGCCGGGTCTGTGCATGCCGTGCGAATCAGCTTCTCCATCATCTGGTTGGTGCGCTCAGTCTGACCGTCTGATTGCGGGTGGTACACCGTGGACAAGTGCAGACGTGAACCGTACTGCTGCCAGGTTTTTGTCCAGAAGTTGGACGTGAACCGTGGACCACGATCGCTGATGATTGCCGATGGGATGCCGTGTAGCCGCACGATGTTCGTGAGGAACAGTTCCGCTGTCTGCTCGGCAATAATTGTCGTCTTGCAGGCGGCGAAATGGGCCAGTTCCGGGTCCGAAACTCTCGTACCGGGTCCGAAACGCCGTCTTGTAGCAGTCAGCTGCGTGCACGCAAAGTTGGTGGTAACCGCCTCGCAGGTCAATCTTCGAGAAGAAACGAGCCCCGCGAAGTTGGTCGATGAGGCCGTCGGCATGCGGAATTGGGTAGCGAGATTTTATGGTAACTCGGTTCAAGGCGCGGTAGTCGATACACATAGATAGACCGCCATCTTTCTTCGGGGTGAACAGGATCGGAGCTGCAAATGGTGAGGTGCGGGGCGGACGAATCCTTTCTCGAGTAGGTAGTCCAGCTGGCATCGAAGTTCATCCAGTTCGGGTTGAGTCAGCCACCATTGGGTCCGAACAATAGGCTGCGCGCCAGGCTTGAGCTCAATTTTGTGGTCATGCGACCGCCGAGGTGGCAAGCCCGCCAGGAGGTCGTCTTGAAACATGTCGGCGTGCTTCCGAATTACTGTTGCCAAATCATCCGATACAGTTGCGCAAAGTTTGTCGATGTCGGTCGGCGTGTCGACAGCCGTTGATGCGATCCATCGGACGGCATACAGTTGCGCTTCTCGGATCATCGCTCGCTTGATACTCACTGCGCCGACCGTCGATATGGTTGAGTCTTGATTGCTCCATTTGGGTAGGTGTCGCCACTCGCCACTCCACTTGATGCGACAATCGTCCATCCGCCAATCGATGCTCTGGTTGTATTTTCGCAACCAATCGCGTCCCAGTAGCATCTCGCAGCCGTCCAAAGTTGTCGCCAACATCTTCGTCGTGAAACTGAGATTTTCGCCACAGGTGACCCGCACGTGAGGCACTCGCTCCCGAATCACCAGTGGGGTGCCATCAACTAACCTCGCGTCGATTTCGGGCATGCAGCGTTCCAGCTGCAATCGGAGTCTCTTCGCTTTGTCACATCCATCAAACTGTGGCTTGCCCCATCATCAACAAATATTTTGATGCGGGTGTCGCCAACTCTTCCTCCAATCAGCACAGGTCGATCAACTGGTTCACCCCCCTTATTCAGCTAGGAATGGTCGATAGCCCAAATCGGTACTATAACCTGGTGGGGGTGTTGGCGTTTGGGCGACGTAGTCAAGTCAGTAGGTGGCCCATCTGCTACTGACGATCTCCATTTCCCGACTGCTTTCCGTCGTCAGCTAAGTTCTTCTTCAGCTGCGGGCAGTCCCTCACCATGTGGCCCGGCTGGTTGTAGTGGAAACAGCATCCGGAAAATACCCGGGCTGCAAACACGTCCACGCCGTTGATTGATGTGTGTTGGGGGTGGCCTCGAAAGCGATTTCCCTCCCAGAAATCCGCTCTCGCGAGTCCACGCTTTGCGTCCGTCACCAGTCGAGTGTCATTCCCATTAGCAGCGACACAACCAAGTTGATACGTGACGCGTTGTCATTAATACTTGTTGCTGTTAAGAAGATTTCCATGGCGAACAGCCAACCGCTCACTGTAGTCATTTTGTCGGTCGGGTTGAACAGCGGTGGCATCGAAGGTTTGATATTAATGGCCGCCCGCGGTTCGCTGTGGACTTCTTCGACTGCTTCAGGTGTCGCCGACGCCCTCGCCTCGCTCGCAGCATCTTCGTCTCGGGTAACAGGCTGCCCCTGACGCGTTTCACCCCGCGTCTGGCGAAGCGACGAGTTTTCGTTGCGCAGCGTCTACACTTCGCTTCCCAGCGACTTGAACTTATCGACGAGTTGTTGAAGCTAGGCCTACAGTGTCGTCACTGTAGCCGCCCTGGCTTGCAACTCGTCAAACTCCTCCTGGGTCAGGTTCCTAACACTAAGACGGGCAGAGGTTTCCGACGTGATAAACATGCTTTACACGACAGATCTGAGGGTGCACACGCTTCTAGTTGGAGGAGCTTTAACGAGCTCACCTACCAACCGCAGGCCAACCCTCTATTCTGTCGGGTCCTCTCCCGATATAAACGGACTACTCTACGGAAGACTAAGCGGGCAGGAACGGGGCTCATATATCAGATGTTATGAATTAATCAGAGTAATAACAGATAGTGTAATAAATGAGTCGTGATTCAAGAGTGTCGATACAAATGAGGGTCTAGGCATTTATAGGCACAAACAGAGCTAGCCGAGAACCACGCGAACAGGTTGGGGCGGTCCGGTTGGCGAAAGCTACGGAAGCGCCATGCGTCAAGAGAGCCGAGGTTTGGGTTCGCGAAGTGGTTCGGGACCGAAGAAGTTGGCCGGGCCTGGACTTCCGAGAGTCGAGGGCGTACGCGCTGTAGTCGAGCCCAGTAAGGAAAAGGGGATTTCCTTATAGTGTAACTCCCCTGGTTATCTATTCATGGAATTAAGAACTCTGAGGGCCCGTTTCGTTTGTGTTCTCATAAGTGCCTTGTGTAAGTGACTTCTGAGAAAGCAGCAACCCTGCTACCCGTGCGCACTGACGCGAACCTAACCCCCAAACTTGAAACCAGCGCTGCAGTTACAGGTAATTATCGTGTCATGAATCCTGACACGGGTGGCTGACACGCCGTACAAACAATTCCTGCTACGGTAGCTGTTAGTGTTCCCCAAATATCCAATTGTTCGAAGTTTCTAGAAATCTCCGTTCCCCGGACCGCTGCACCAAACCCTCAACGCCGCCTACCTTGCCTTACCCATTTCCGACACTAATTCTAGGCAGGCCTTAACACTTAGCGTTTGGAGACAGTATGAGGCAGGCAAAAGCTCGTGCGCCAAGAGCTAGCGGACTCGCGGAGCATTTCGAATAGGAAGTTCTCTTCTGTTCCATTTTGGCTTCCTCGCCACAACTGTCCGTACTTAATAATTAGGTCTGCGAGTATTTACTATCCGCAGCAATGGCGGACCACCACATGATGTTGGACCTACAGGCGCGCGGCATGCACGCCGCCTCGCTGCCGTTCCAACCCCACCATCCCGCGGCCCTCGCGCACGTGCACCCGCACCACCTCCAGCCACCGCTGCCGCCGCCGCCGCAGGCGCTCCAGCATCAGCTGCCGCACCAGCACGTGCCGCAACACCCGCACCACGCGCAGCACCACCAGGACCAGCAGCAGCGAGCGCTGCAGCACCAGCCTCCGCAGCAGCAGCAGCAGCAGCAGCAGCAAGGCCTTGGCATGGGTATCTCGCAGCCGGGGGCTTCCCAGCATCAAGCGCCACGTCATCATCAGCAGCATCTCGCGAACGTGCAGCACCTTGGGGGCTCTGACGTGGAGGTGGGCATGGATGACGTGGACGTGGCGGAGGGCGAGGAGGGCGTGATGGACGACGACGACGGCGACGACGGCGAGCACGGCGGCGCGGGGTCGGGCGAGCACGACCACGAGGGCGGGATGACCGCGGGCGACGGCGGGATGGGCGGCGCGATGCGCGGGGGCGGGCCGAACATGCTGTCGCTGTCGTACCACGGCGAGGTGTACGTCTTCGACTCCGTGCCGCCCGAAAAGGTGCGCCTCGCCGCGCCAGCAGGGGACATGGTGGCTGGCGCATGGGGAATGGGCAATGGGCTCCCAAGGTAGCTGGATGCATGGCGCGCGGGGTTGACGAATATGTGGGAGTGCATGGCAGCGGGGGCGGTTTGTGGAGTGAGGTGTACGTGCCACACGACGCATGCACGTCATTACCATGAGGAAGGTTGGGCTCTTTCCTCGTGATGCGTGGAACGGCACTTGGCTATCGCTTGGATGCACCCGTCCTCGTCCTCGTCCTCGTCCTCGTCCTCGTCCTCGTCCTCGTCCTCGACTTCATTTTTCCCGTCTTACAAGAAGCGCTAACGGCGATGCTCATGTGCTGCCCCCCGTGCTGCAGGTGCAGGCGGTGCTGCTGCTGCTGGGCGGCAGGGAGGTGCCGCCATCCATGGCCAATAGCGTGCCGCACCACCACTTCAAGGTGCGCCGTCCCACGCTCTCTCGGTCATGGCCAACGCATGCTTGCCCGCTGCTCCCACCTGCGTGCTGCCTGGATTTCAATCGCTCGTTCCCCCTCGCCGCGCCCCCTTCCCCCTCTCCGCCAACCCATTCGACCTCTCATCCTCTCTTCCTCCTCCCTCTCTCCCCTCTGTCCTATCCGCTCCTCCCTTCGCCCTCCAGCCGCCCATCTGTCGTGTTCTCGCCCCTTCCTTGCTGCCACCTCTCCTGCCCCCCTCCCCTCCCCTCCCCCCCGCCGCACATTCCCGCATTCCGTCCTTCCGGCCCGGACTGCTTTCTTCCACTAACCATCCCTCCCTTGGTCCCTTCACCTCTCCCTCACTCGCTGCCTGCCGCCCTTCCCCGTTTCCTCTCTCCCTCTCTCCTCTTTCCATCCATCCTTCCACCAATCCATCCCTCCCTCGCTCGCTCCGCCCCACCCCTCCCTCCGCCCCCCAGCACCTGGGCGGCGGCGTGGGGGCGGAGCTGCCGGTGCGGCTGAACCAGCCGCAGCGCCTGGCGTCGCTGAACCGGTTCCGGGAAAAGCGCAAGGAGCGTAACTTCGACAAGAAGATCCGCTACAGCGTGCGCAAGGAGGTCGCGCAGCGGTGAGCGGGGGTGCTCCAGCTGGGGGCAGCTGGTTTGGTGGTGCTTGTCTGTGTCTGGCTTTCACACGTAGCTTCATTTCACACGTGTCATGGCAGGACGCAATGAAGATCCGATGTAGTGTGCGCAAGGAGGTGGCGCGGCGGTGAGTGAGTGGACAAGTGGGATGATGTCACCCGAGGGGTCGGACACATGATGTCACCACCAAGGCTGGCGCACAGATGCGGCATAGGCCATGATTGCGTGGGGCATGGTCATGGCGCGACATGGTTCGGTGGGGCTAGTCGCTGCTTCACATTCCTGGTCCCTCCACTTGCTGCTCACTCCCACCCACCCCCCTTCTTCTTTCGCCTTTGCCACCCTCGTTCTCGCGCCAGCATGTGTCGGAAGAAGGGGCAGTTCGCGTCCAACCGGGGGGGGGGCTCGTTCTTTGAGGACCCGCTGCCGGAGGTGGGGGAGAGCAGCGCGCACGACAGGACCGACGCCGCGCCTGAAGCCATGTGAGAGATGCGCCTGATTGTTCACCTGAGGCCAATGATTAAAGCATCTGACCACCTGATGGTTCACGTGAAGCCATGTGAGTGAGGCTTCTGAAGTTAGAGCAAGCTGTCGAGCATGATGGCGGTCCCGTGCACCTCTGCATTGGCGTATGCTTCTCTCTGCTTCTTTCTCCCTCCCCACACGTGCTAGCTGCCACCACTCCACATGGGCTCGAATGAGATTGCCACTCCCTTCATGACCGCGCAAATCGGCCTTGCATTCCTCCTAACCCCCCCTCCCCCAAACACCACCTGCTACCCCTGGCTCGAGTGAGGACGCCACTTCAGTGGCGCTGCCGCTCTCCCCTCCTCACCATGGATCATTCCACTCCCCCCCCAACCTCCCCCCCCACCCCCCCGCTCCAACACCATGTGCCAGCACTGCGGCACAAGTGAGAAGGCAACCCCCATGATGCCTCTGCTCTCCACCTTGACCGCATGCATCCTTCCCTCTCCCACCCCCCTCATCATCACACACAATCTGCCAGTGCTGCGGCACGACTAAGAATGCCACCCCTATAGTGCGCGCACCCGCCACCCTTGGCCTAATGCACCATTTCTCCTCCCCTCCGCCCTCGCCTGTTACTCCCCTGCTCGCATCACCCACGGCAGCTGCCACCACTGCGGCACGAGTGAGAAGGCCACCCCCATGATGCGGCGAGGGCCCAAGGGGCCGCGCACGCTGTGCAACGCATGTGGACTGATGTGGGCCAATAAGGTGCGCGGGGCATGCATGCGGGCCAAGCAGGTGGGTGAGCACACGAACTGGAGGTGCGAGCAGAGCAGTTGGAGCATGTGAGGGAAGCACATGACGCTGCATTTCCCCGCTGTTTCCTGGCTCTTTTTTTTGTGGGGCTTGCTTCTTTCTAACTTCATGTTTCTTCTCTCCTCTCGCCTCCTCGCTGCTTTCTTTTGTCCATGACAAGTCTGCAACCTCTGCTCACCGCCCCATGCCCACCCCTCCACATTTTCCCTGCCCACCCTCCTCGCCCTCTCCTCGCCCCATCTCCCATGCGTCCTTCCTGACCTCGCCAAGGGCCCGCCTTCGTTCCGTTCTTAGTTGGGCTCTTCCGCCCAGCCAGCTGTGTCAGCGCAACGATAAGCGCAACGTTGCGTTTACGTTTACGTACGCGTAATCGCGCGTACGTTTTCTCGGGCAGGGGAAAAAAATTGCCGGGAGAATTTTCTCCGTTTTTTTCAAATCACGGGCTAATGTATGCTGTTCGGATCTGGAAAACGCCAGCACGTCAAAATCGATATGGAGGTCGCCCTGCAATATGCCCGCGATTTGCAATCGTTAGGTGAAGGTGCGGCAATGCATTTAGAGACTTCTAAGGAGTTAGGTGGGTAGGCCATTCTAGACTTGCGCAAGGGAGCTAGCGAGACGCACATTTGGTATGACGAGGAGATAGGAGATGGGAGGGAAGGGGGTTGGTTGGTTGGTTGGGCGCGTTACTTTTGCGCAGGCGCGGGTGGGGGCTTCGTGCGCTGCCTGGCAGCAGTTTGACGACGCCCGAGTCAACGTCGCCACCTCGCCACCCAGTTTCGTCAATCCAGCAGTGGGAATTTCAGAAACTGTGTCGAACGTCGCACATTGGGGATTGGCCAATCGTACCTGTCTCGAACCTAGGGCAGCCAGAAGTGTAAACTCATTCCGTGAACCCAAACGTGCGCGTAAACGTAACATGTAAACGTCCGTCCACGTAAACGTATTTGACCAAGGTTCCGTTGAAGTACCTTGTGCCCTCCGTGTGGCGCCGTGTCGACTCCATCCCCTCCCCACCTCCTCCTGCTTTCATCTCACAGGGTGTCTGCCGCCACCAAGGGCCCGCCCCTCCATCCCCATGCGAACCTAAAGGCAGACCCTCACTCCCTTGCATTAACCCCTCCTCATCCCCCACGTGCCTCTTGCCGTCCTGCAGGGCGTGCTGCGCGACCTCACCAAGGGCCCGCCCGCCATCCCCATGCTCTCGCAGCTCGCGTCAGCACCCGGGGGGGTGGCAGTAGGGGCAGCAGGGGGGGCTGCAGGTGGTGCCATGGTGGGGGCCATGCAAGGGACGCCCGCAGGAATGGGTGCAGGCATGGGTGCAGGCATGGGTGCAGGCATGGGTGCAGGCATGGGTGCAGGCATGGCGGCAGGGGCAGATGCAGGGGCAGGGGCTGGCTTGGAGCAGCAGCAACAACAGCAGCAGGAGCAGGAGGAGCAGCAGGGGCAGCGGGAGCAAGCGGCACACGTGGCGATTGGGGCGCAAGAGCAGCAAGGGCGCCAGCAGCACTTCATGCACCAGGTCAGTGCATCCGCCGCGTCCCACTTCGTTTTCTTGTGCCTTGTGCTATTCTTGTTTCTCGCACTCTCCCGCTCGCTCGCTCCACTCCCTCACCTTTTACTTGTTGGCTTGTGTTCCGTCCACGCCAACCAGGAGCATGTAAGCACGGCTCTCCCACCCGACGCCACTCAAGCGGGCGTCCTCGTGTAGCCGGCCTACCTGCGGGCTTGTGCATGGCGGACTGCACGGCGGCACTCAAGCTCGTGTGCGATTTCATCCACACGCTCTTTCTCCCAACTTTTCTTGCTGCCGTGTCTTGTTCCGTTCACCCCTTCCAAAGCAGGACGCCACTGAGGTGGGCTTCCCCGTGCAGCCGGCCCACCTGGACTCGCAGCAGCTGCAGCAGCTGCAGCAGCTGCAGCAGCTGGCAGGCGCGCAGCACACCGCCATGGGGCCGGGGGAGCCGCAGCAGCGGGGGGGGTTGGAGCAGCAGGAGCATGAGCAGCTCTCGCATGCGCAGCAGGAGCACTCTGAGAGGGACGGGCAGGAGCAGCAGGGGGGGGAGGAGGAGGGCGAGCAGGGGGAGGAGCAGCAGAGGGGAGCAAAGAGGAGGCGAGAGGAGCAAGAGGAGGATGGGGAGGGAGCAGAAGGGGAGGGGCGGGAGTTGCTGGAGGAGCGAGGGGGAGGCGGTGGGGTGGAGGGCGGGACGAGAGGGGATGATGGGGGGGAAGGGGAAGATGAGGGGGAGGGTGGAGGGAAGCACAACGCATATGGCGTGGAAGGTTCCAGCCACGGGGATGCACGGGAGGGGGCAGGTGACTGGGACAGGGAGGGGGAGGGGGCTGGAGTGGGGGGTTCAGACGAAGCAAAGGAGGATGAAGAGGTGGAGACCGGAGAGCATCGGGGTCCAGGAGATGAGGAGGGGGAGGAGATGGGGAGAGGGGAGGGCAACGGTAGGGTGGATAGTCCAAGCTGAGGTGATGGGTTGGTGGATGATGAGCGCGCATCCAACATGCATTAGACAGGGAGGGCAATTGGGCCCTTGCGAGCAGTCGTTGGCTCGTAGCCGTGTGTGCGAAGGGCTGGGTTTTGCTTTGACATGTCAAAACCGAGTCGTGTGTGCCTCCCCTCTGCCTGCCCTCCCTCGCTGCCAATCTTCGAGTCTACTGCGCCTCGATTCGCTGCTCCCAGGTGCCTCGTTGCGAGTCAAGCGGCTGGGATGGCGGCAGAGCTCTCAGCAACCACCAGTAGCCATCGCCGGAGTGCTCCTCCAGATGACCCCCTCTTGTGTGCTTGGGAGTGCTTCCTGCTTTGCCACACCGCAGGAAGGAAGCCCGCCTGTGACTCTGCCTGAGTCACTAATCCACTGATTTCTTGGTTGACTAGTGATTTCCAAGTCTTCCCCTTGCCCTTCCTCTGCCTCAAAACAAAAACCCATGCGTGTAATTCACAGGACTGCAAACAAACTGGAAATGTGATTGGTGATTTGATGGAGTAGGAATGGATTGATGTTGCAGAATGTGTGCAGGGCACCCGTTTTGACCCCTCCTCTATTCAAGCTCTGACCTGAAGGCGTGGCCTAGAGAGCTGTCCACACGCTGAACTAACGGCAGGCAGGCTGCATGCAGATTCCACGCTTGGTCGGTCTGGCGGTATTAACAGCACCAAGCATACCTCACTTGGATGCGTTTGACACCCCAACATGCACATGCATGCACTCCCCCACACAGCCCAGCTGTGTGTGTGATGGCGGCAGAGGAGATGCCAGCACTCAGTAGTCTGTCTAGTCTGTTTGGTTGACTAGCCATGTCCATGGTGCCCCCTTGCCCATGGCCTATGTGGCGGTGCTGTACGTCTTGGGCTTGGGCTTCACCTCGGCATCGTTCACGTTGCGAATGTAGATGGTGTCCCTCTCGTGCCTGCCGCGGCCGGAGGGGAAAGCACGAGGCAGTGGACATGAGAGCAGGAGAGGAGAGTGAGTCGTAGTTGAGAACGTGTGAGAGCTGCTGCCACGCCATGCGGGTTGGCGATCAACGATGCCAGACTGGCAAGCATGGGCGATGGACCAGGCTAAGAAGGTAACCTCCCATGGTGGCAAAAACACTTTTCAACTGGGCGTGGTATGCACGTGGAATGCATGTGGAGAGCATGTGGAATGCATGTGGAATGCATGTGGAAAGCATGTGGAATGCATGTGGAATGCATGTGGAATGCACATGGAATGCATGTGGAATGCATGTGGAGTGCAGTGGAATGCATGTGTGCAGTGAGAAGCCATGGCTCACGGGATGTCGCCCATCTCGAAGGTGTAGCTGGCCGCCACGGCCAGCAGGCGGCCGTCGCGAGAGAAGGAGAGCGCCGCGATGCTGGTGGGGTACTTGGCGTACTGCCATGGGGCAGCATGGATTGGGGAGAAAGGCATCAGGTGCGGGGAGGAAAGATGACTGCTGAAGACAAGAAAATTTCATAGAATGAAAGAATGTAAAACCATGGCATCCACAGTCCGCAAGAAATAAATCATCATCACTAGTGCACTGTGGTTCTTGTTATCACACATAAAAAAAGCTAATTCTTTGTCATTGTCACACCTGGTACAGTCGTTTCTTGTTGTTGCCGTCCCAAATGTTCACGACACCGTCGCAACCACCCGTGCCAAAGGTGCCGTAGCTGGGATGGTTCGGGAGGAAAGGCATCGGTTGAAGGAATGCAGACTGAGTAGCTGTCGCAAAGGAGGGCTTGCCAAAATAGCCAAAATAGATCTGCTGTGGCTGGCGTGTGTTATAGAATGAAGCTAGTGCCGTCGAGACTAGATAGTGAGGCAGCGGAGGGAGGCTCGTGTTGTGAGAGCAAGAGTTTGAACAAGAGGGAAAAGAAGGCGTGGAGAAGCAAAGAAGGAAGAGGAGGTGCCCTTGTACGGTCAGCAAACGCAGCAGGAGATGGACTGCAGCGTCTCGCATCACTGTGTTAAGCCTGGGCTTACTGGGCGATACAGCCACTAAAAATTTCTACTGACATTGGATGAAACGCAATGGTGTTGACTGGGAAAACGGTGTCTCTCCCTCCCTCTGATCTCCGATGGCACTTGAAGGCATATCTGCACATGGCAACATGCCAACATGCACATTGAAACACAGACGTGCAAACACACACACACACACACACACACACACACACACACACACCCAGACACACACACACACACACACACACACACACACACACACACACACACACACACACGTGGTTGCACACTAGCGCGCGAGAACACATGGACAGATGTGTAAAGAAACAGCCTCGAGATGTCCAAACAGAACATTGCATGACTGCCACAGCAACCATGGCCTCTCATGCAGCCACGGCATCCCTGCGCTTCCCACACAGCCACGCGCAGCCATGCCAATAGTGCAGCACTGCACGCAGCGGCGCCTCAAGCACTCACTTCTTGGCCTGAGCAGCCTCAGCAGGGTCGAAGAACTCCATGGCCACGCGCCCCTCCACGGACGCCAATGCGTACCCCGTGCCGTTGGGGTAGCAGCGCACACACCGCGTCTGGAACTTGAGCGATGACTCGCGCCGCTGCTCCGCCTGTGCCATGCTGCGCAGGTCATACACCGACACGTGGCGCCCCGCCATGGCCACCACCAGGCGGTTGCCCACGAGCGACATGGAGTAGCACCGCTCGGGCTGCTCTGCTGTGACCGTCAGGCGCAGGTGAGAGGCCGGCGCTCTGGGGTCCCAGCAGCGCACCGTGCGGTCCCACCCCCCCGTGATGAGCTGGCCTGGGAGGAAGGCGAGGGCGGCGAGGGCGGGGATTATTGGTGAATGGGGTGCAGTGCAGGGCGGGTAGGCGGGGACGACACGGATGAACATGCAGGGGAGAGAAGGGCGAGAGCAGTAGCAGGTGGATGGAGCACACTCGGCAGAATGAGCGGAGAGCACTCCGCAGCACAATGAGAGGAGAGCACTCGGCCGCACATTGAGAGGAGAGCACTCGGCAGCACATTGAGAGGAGAGCACTCGGCAGCACAATGAGAGGAGAGCACTCGGCAGCACAATGAGAGGAGAGCACTCGGCAGCACATTGAGAGGAGAGCACTCGGCAGCACATTGAGAGGAGAGCACTCGGCAGCACATTGAGAGGAGAGCACTCGGCAGCACAATGAGAGGAGAGCACTCGGCAGCACAATGAGAGGAGAGCACTCGGCAGCACATTGAGAGGAGAGCACTCGGCAGCACATTGAGAGGAGAGCACTCGACAGCACAATGAGAGGAGAGCACTCGGCAGCACAATGAGAGGAGAGCACTCGGCAGCACAATGAGAGGAGAGCACTCGGCAGCACAATGAGAGGAGAGCACTCGGCAGCACATTGAGAGGAGAGCACTCGGCAGCACATTTAGAGGAGAGCACTCGACAGCACATTGAGAGGAGAGCACTCGGCAGCACATTGAGAGGAGAGCACTCGGCAGCACAATGAGAGGAGAGCACTCGGCAGCACAATGAGAGGAGAGCACTCGGCCGCACAATGAGAGGAGAGCACTCGGCAGCACATTGAGAGGAGAGCACTCGGCAGCACATTGAGAGGAGAGCACTCGGCAGCACATTGAGAGGAGAGCACTCGGCAGCACAATGAGAGGAGAGCTCTCGGCAGCACAATGAGAGGAGAGCACTCGGCAGCACAATGAGAGGAGAGCACTCGGCCGCACAATGAGAGGAGAGCACTCGGCAGCACAATGAGAGGAGAGCACTCGGCAGCACAATGAGAGGAGAGCACTCGGCAGCACAATGAGAGGAGAGCTCTCGGCAGCACAATGAGAGGAGAGCACTCGGCCGCACAATGAGAGGAGAGCACTCGGCAGCACAATGAGAGGAGAGCACTCGGCAGCACAATGAGAGGAGAGCACTCGGCAGCACAATGAGAGGAGAGCTCTCGGCAGCACAATGAGAGGAGAGCACTCGGCCGCACAATGAGAGGAGAGCACTCGGCAGCACAATGAGAGGAGAGCACTCGGCCGCACAATGAGAGGAGAGCACTCGGCAGCACATTGAGAGGAGAGCACTCGGCAGCACAATGAGAGGAGAGCTCTCGGCAGCACAATGAGAGGAGAGCACTCGGCAGCACAATGAGAGGAGAGCACTCGGCCGCACAATGAGAGGAGAGCACTCGGCAGCACATTGAGAGGAGAGCACTCGGCAGCACATTGAGAGGAGAGCACTCGGCAGCACAATGAGAGGAGAGCACTCGGCAGCACAATGAGAGGAGAGCACTCGGCAGCACAATGAGAGGAGAGCACTCGACAGCACAATGAGAGGAGAGCACTCGGCAGCACAATGAGAGGAGAGCACTCGACAGCACAATGAGAGGAGAGCACTCGGCAGCACAATTAGAGGAGAGCACTCGGCAGCACAATGAGAGGAGAGCACTCGGCAGCACATTGAGAGGAGAGCACTCGACAGCACAATGAGAGGAGAGCTCTCGGCAGCACATTGAGAGGAGAGCACTCGGCAGCACATTGAGAGGAGAGCACTCGACAGCACAATGAGAGGAGAGCTCTCGGCAGCATACCTATATTGCACTATCGCTCACTGCATGCGCTCACCAGTGGCGTGCTCTGCTCTCACCCATGACGTGCTCTCACCTGTGGCATGCTCCCACCCGTGGCGTGCGCTCACCTGTGGCGTGCGCTCACCCGTGGCGTGCGAGTACTCGACGCTCTTGACTGCCCCCTGGTGGTGCCCCAGCACGTCCTCCCTGCCCACGCTGAAGTCGTACCTGCACCCACAACAACCCCACAGCATCTCGTTCGTGTCAAATTGCCGCCATTGCCACAATATTTCACAAGTGTCACATTGGCACCGCAACATTTCATTACTGTAACCTCGCCGCCATACTCGCAACGTCTCCTTAGTCGCCCCTTGTCTCCTTATGGTCACACAGCCATCACATCACATCACATCACATCACATTACATCACATCACATCACATCACATCACATCACATCACATCACATCACATCAAATCACATCACATCACATCACATCACATCACATCACATCACTACTCCATCTGGCACCCGATGTGGCGTTGCTACTATGGCCTGCGCTGTGTTTCCCCGGCAGCACGAGGGTCTAGTCCAACGCACCTCCAGGCCAGCACATTCGAAAAACATTACAACTCACCTCCCTCCCCACCCCACCTCCTTCTCAATTGCAAGCCTCACCGGACGACTGACTGGTCCACGCTGACAGCGAAGCCCGAGGCGTCGTCGTAGAAGCAGCAGTCCAGCACGGGCCCGCGGCGGGGGAAGGTGCCCTTCAGCGTGTTGCTGTTGGCGTCATACAGCCGCATGTTCTGCCGTGAGGGGGGGAGAGGGGCGACACAGGAATGCAGTCGCATGCTGTATGGTGTGAAGGTAAGTGGTGCGATCGGCGCCACACATTGCATGCAGCGGGAGCGTGTGTGAAACAGCTTGGACCACATAGATTCATGTGACCGGACAGCGACGACAGAGACACGGCAATGCTCAAGCCATCGCAAGCCCCACGCCGAAGCCAGTGGACTGACGCCGCAACGACGCTAGCAAGGCACTCACGCCATCCCAAGACGACACGAGCAGGTTGTCCGAGTGGTTCGAGAAGCGCAGATTCGATATGCCGTCCGTCGGCGGGCTGCCCAGCTCCCGCCCCAGGCTCTGCATCGCCCCTTGCCGCCGCCCGCCGCTCTATCGCCTGCTCGTCGCACACGTCGCTGCCTATCGGTTGCTCCAGATCACTTCTCCGCTTCGCCTGATATCGCGGTCGTCTGATCTTCACAGAATGCCGGCAGCGGCACGTGACGTGACCCGTCCAGCTAGTGGGCTTAACAGCTCGCACCTCTGCGAGAATCGCAGGCACTAAAGGGGAGCGGACGCGCAGCTCTACCCTAGCGTTTCAGCACCATCGCGTGAATGCTTACTACGAAGAAGACCTTAGACGCCGCTAACCGCAGGAAGGCGCGAGTTTCGAGCCTGAGTGAATCAGGTCGGCCTGGCTGAGAAGATCATCCCGAAGATTTTCGAGCAGTCCTCGCGCGATGTTGGATTATCATCAATCACACCACAACGAGTCACGGCTGCGAAACCTTTCAAATCATCGCATGCATGTTACAGAGCGGCGAAGGCCGACCAGCCGCATGCGCTGTTGTGGAGCAAAGACTGCTGCTACATGGCATCATGAGTTGAATGTGAAGATAGCAAATCCAACAAAACGCATGTGAAGTGTGTGCATTACTTTATTATTCAATGACAATGCACCCACAAGCGCTATGTTATCTAGGAGTCCCCTAAACGATACGTCTAAGGAGCACAATACAGAAGCTTCAATGAGCCTACACCTAAGTTACCTTCATAAGACCAACACACTTAGGGGGTTCCAACAAATTGAATCGGAAAGCCCACCCTAGAGAGAGCTCCTCCATCCAACCCACAGTGCAACGTTGTGCTGCTTGCTGCTAGGATGCAGCCAGTGGGTTTGAATGGTGAACGACAGATACAGGCTGCCTCCCAGAAGCCAACCCACCAGCATCGACGCAACAGAACGCACCACCCATTAGAGTGCTTACTTCTGTATTCCCCCCCCCCTATGACAGCCCTCATGTGCCACCTCAGGGGATATGAGATACGCACCAGGAGCAACTGCCACCGACAGGGATTCAATGCTTAAGGTTGGAGGAAAGCCCGGTACAACATACATCAGAGTGCAAGTCAGCAGCAGCAGCATGCTATCCGTGGTGAGTGGAGTCATGGAGTCAATGCAAACAGCCAGCGGAGGGAGCGACGGTTGTTGCAGATGGGGCGAGCAGCAGCTACTAGTTAGCGTTGCAGCTGCTGCTAGAGGCAGCAGCGGACCTGCATGAAAGCAGCAGCTGCTGCCATTGCCGCTGGTGCCGTGCATTGCAGGAGGTGGCAGTGGGTGCAGCAACATACGAGCTGTCGGGTCCATGGCAATGGGTGATGCAGGCGATTGGGAACAGAGCTATGGCGGCAGCAGCTATTGGCGATCGCTGATGAGGTCGAGGGCGACAATGAGGAAGGTGAATCCTTGGAAGAGCAGGAAATAGAAGTGCATCCCTGCCACTGTCAGCAGGCTCCTCGCTGCTGCCACCAGCAGCAGCAGCGCCAGGGCCAGCTCGTTCTTGTACAGCCTAAGGAAAGGGGGCGGAAGGAGACAACAGCCAAGGGAATGAGAGAACAAATAACCATGTTTCTGTTTTGGACACTTGCAAAGCAATTGCAGGGACACACAATAATCGACCACAAGGAAATTCACAGTTGCACTGTAGAGTACCCACTTTCTTCCGGTTGGTTTTGATTGCGTGATGGCCTCCATGCTCTTGGGTGCTGTCGTCAGCAGCGGCTCCTCTATCTTCACTTTAAGCTGATCCTCTATCCGCACATTGAGCATGCCTTCACTGGCTGTCCGGGTAAAAGCAGATGGCGGTGTAGACGGCCGGGGAATATCCACAACTGACTTGCTCGGTTTCAAAGTACCCTGGAGGGGGCAGAGAAAAGGGGTGCCAGGAAACAATTCCCAGGAGCAATGGTCAGTGGCCGTGAAAAATGAATGGTCAGCAAAATGTGTTGGACACCATCCCGAGCTGCTAGTTATAAGCGAGTTGGCAGAGCAACGCGAGGCTCAACCGCGCCATGCAACGGCATGGCCCAGCCCACTCGCCACTGTCTCTATTCGCTTCCACCCCACCGAGCTCACTCACCATGGGCTCGGAGGCGGTGGTGGCGAGCGGCTGGTCGGCATCGGTGGCGCGGCCCGTCTTCTTGGTGACGACCCATTCGTGCGCGCTCTTGAGCTGGAAGAGCCCCGCGATCATGGCCTGGAACTTGGTCACGGACATGGTGTTCTCGAACAGCAGGTACGGGATCATGAACGGGAAGTACCTGCGGGGAGGGAGGGGAACAGACCGACGGACAGGGTGGTTACGATACTTGTGACGACAAACACTCTGCTCGGAACGTCGTCTGCCCGATCCGACAGAAGGGGGGAAAGGGAGACGGTTGCGTGGCCGACACGCGACATGATACCAGGGGGGGAGGTTTGACGGGCGGACTGATGTCAGAGGCATGGAGACGGAACGGTAAAGGGGTTCAGGTTGAGTAGGGGAGTTGGTAAACGTGATGCGTTTAGACCGTATGAAGTCTCACTTGGGCGAGGGCAGAACGTTGAGCAGCGACATGATGCCGGGGATGTAGCACACCACCCACAGCGGCAACTGCGCCTCGGGCACGAACATGGTGAGCGGCAGGATGATGCAGAAGAGCATGAAGGAGTAGAACGGTAAGATCATCTTGCGCAGCAGGAAGAAGAGGAAGATCATGTTCAGCTTCTTCCACACCGCGATCTTCGCCGTGATTATATCGGGCAGGCACAGCCGAAACAGCTGCATCGGGCCCGAGTGCCACCGGTGCTGCTGCTTGCGAAACGCCTCGTACGACTCGGGCAGCTCACACATGGCCTCCACGTCGTTCAGAAACAGGAATCTCCACCCCTTGAGATGCGCGCGCACGGCAATATCCATGTCCTCCACCGTGGTGCGGTCCATCCACCCGCCCGACTCCTCGAGCGCCGTGATCCGCCAGACGCCCGCCGTACCGTTGAAGCCGAAGAAGTTTATGAGCGCGCCGTTGACCTGCTGCTCCACCTCGAAGTGGAAGCGCAGGTTGATCGTCTGCAGCTTCGTCAGCAGGTTCTCGTCCTTGTTCACGAAGTTCCACCGCGCCTGCACCAAAGCCACGTCCGGGTTGTCCTGCGGAAATCGTGGGGAGCGGAGCGGAGCAGAAGGGGGGGGGGGGGAGGGGGGGAGGGGGGGAGAGAGATGAATGCTGTCACCAGATCAAGGCGATGTCCGTTGTCAGGGAGAAGAGCAGAAGGCGATGTACACTATACGAGCGCACAGTGACGAGATGAGATACTGGTAAGAGGCGGTACCTTGAAGTGCGGCACGGTGAGCTTGAGGAAGTCGGGCTTGGGCTGAAAGTCGGCGTCGAAGATGGCAACGAACTCGTACTTGCGCACGTACTCGCAGCTCATGCCCGACTGCAGGTTGCCCGCCTGGTGGACCAAGGGACAGGGGAGGGAGAATCAGACCGGTCTCGAAAGACGCCGGCGACGAACGGCACGTATTCGCGACAATTGACGATGGAGAAACGAGTTCGGGAACGGGTGGGGTGGGAAGGGGTTGGCGGATGGGGGAGGGGGGAAAAGCGATCAGTGGCGCGTTACCTTGTAGCCGGTGCGGATGATGCGGTGGCGGTAGACGATGGGGTAGCCGCGCTGCTGCCACATGAGGCACTCGGCTTCGATGAGCTTCTGGATCTCGTCGTCGCTCGAGTCGTCCAGCACCTGGATCAGCATGCGCTCCCGCGGCCACTCCAGCTTGCACGCCGCACCGATCGACTGGTCGTACACCTGCGGAAGACGAAAGACGCGGAGGAAGACACGATGCAGACAGAAGTGCAAACAAATCATAATTTTTTTCAACCGCATCACGCTTCGAAATACAGAAAATTGGCTTCCCGTAGTAATCAACGGCGAGGGAGAGGAACAATAGGCGAGCAATTCGGGAGCACCTACCTCGCGCTCGTTGCACATGGGGATCTGCACGAGCACCATGGGGTACGACTGCCCCGCCTCCTCCGGATCGTACGGCGCGAGCGGTTGACATCGCGGCTTGATGCCCATGATGTTGATCCAGATGCACCCCACACACAGCACCAGCCGGTCCACCGTTTGCACCAGGAACAGGTAGATGCACGCGTTCGCGAACCACTGCAATGGCGGCGCGATGTACTTCGTTCTGCGGGAATGGAGGCGGTAAGGAAGCACGGAGGGATGGAAGAGTAAGTCTTTGGCAGTCAAGCCAACGGTGATTCCCCCCCCACCCCCCCCCTTCTGCATTCCGTCAGAACGTACGTGGTGACGTCTTCGACGACAATGAGCAGGGAGGAGGCGTACCTGATGGTGACCCAGTCCTGCGTGATGGAGTGGAAGTAGGCGGTGACGGAGGCGATGAGCGGCATGACGTGCTTCGTGGGGTTGTGCAGCTGAAACTCCCATTCTAGCTCGCTCGAGTGGCTCAACACCTCAAACGCCAACAGCGCCAACGATAACACCGACAACACTCGCAACGTCCATAATAGTCGTTGCGACGGCCGCGCGTTCAGCCCCTCGTAGTCGTCCTCCTCCTCCTCCTCATCATCCTCCTGATCGTCCTCCGACAATCTCGCGCCGAGGTTTTTAAACAGCGACGCGATGGCGTACCCCAGCCACGCCACGCATCCCGCCGCCTTGTGCGCTTTCAGTAGCAACACCCACGTGAACTGCTTCGCGCTTCTACTCCGCACCAGCTGTTTCACCTCCTCCTTTACGCTCTTCTCTACTCTATCTGGAAGCAGCGGCTCTGCTTCTTTCCCGTCAGACTCTCCTGTCGTGGGGTAGAGGCCTCTATCGGACTTAGTCGCTGTGAGCTTCGACGAGTTCTTCACCCAGAGGTCCGAAACCTCTACCTTGGCTTTCGGATCGCCTCCCCCTGAAAGCTGCGCACTGGGGGCCATGGGTTCTCTCCCCACCCGCTGACCCGCTTGACCCCCTCAGCGCCCCTCTCCTATACCGCTCTATGCGCCAGGTTAACGACAGGCACTTCGGCTTAGCGGCGGAAACTAGTCGCGAAAGAGCGTCGCAAGAAACGGAAAGAAAATATTACAAACGCATTCTTCTGAGACAAGGTTCGGGCTGGTTACGTTTAGCGGGAGCCGCAGGAGTTCCTATCGGTGTTGCTCAGATCAGCTGGTAAGCCCTCGTCACGAGATGGTAACGAATGAGCTAGAGCGCGAGTGAGCCGAAGTGGCAGCACTAGAGTAGACAGCAGACTAGGCGAACCAAGGAGAGTCCAGTATTGCTAGGAAACCAACGGATATGAGTCGAGCCCGGCCAACCCAAGGGACCCCAGGCGGACAAGGCAGTGAAGAGCGCGCTGGGCGGAACTGGTGGACCTGAGGAATTGGCGAAGCGAAGCGAGAACCAAGGGCGCACAGCGAGGGCGCAACTGGGAACAAGCGAGTGAGCAATTGATCCCGCGGCAATAACGCGACGGGCGTGTGGCACTTTGACGCCCAGGGAACGGCGACGCATGAAGCTTTGGCTAATTTGCTGATGGTGCTAAAGCGGCGTGGTATGGCGAACACCAGAAACCCTATGCTGCATGGGGTTGGTTGGCCGTCGAAGCTGCTGCCTTCGGGCTGTGAGCGGCCATGGCTTCGTCGTCACGCATGTATGTGGCTGGTTGACTGCTTCCCCGATTTGCTGCGTTGCGGCTCTGCCTTTTGGCGCATCAGCAGAACGAGCACGGCAGAATCGTGGCGAGGCGAATCGATGGGAGGCGACCCGAAGCGGCAATGCGTGCCTGGGAAATTGGTGTGGATGCTTTGGTCTGTACTGTACTGTACCCCCTCCCGGCCTGGGCGTGGCGCTTACGGCGTCGCTGACTACAATCTCGCGACGCGCGCCAAGGACGGAAACTTGCCTCGGTGAGTCGAACCGTGATGATTGCCCCATTGAACTCTGATACGGGGAGACATGCTTGGTTCGGGTGTCCATTTGACACACTGGGTATACCGTGATCGGTTTTGACCATGGTAGCCACGGCGAAAGCGGAGGTTCGTGCTTCGTTGTTGGTCACAGCGCGATCGCGCTATGTTCGAGTTTCCCGCGCAACGAACTGTTGTTCCGTTGGATACGAAGCGCATCTCGTTATGCGAATGCCTTCTGACTGAAACGAGGGGAGCGGAGAAAATATGGGAGATAAGTATTATACACCGAAGAAAGCCGACTTCCAAAAAAACGCAAACGCCCCTCAAATAGGCTTAAGTTGGTCCCTCGTCTTAGTTTATGAAACTGAATTAGCAAAACATTATGTTTCTGCTGATTCACCTTTCTGGATTGGTATGCGTACTCAACCATGGGAGGTATACATTCTAATTACTGTATTTTTACATTTTCAACATGCACTAAGCCAGAATTTCCTTCTCATCACAACGATGACGCACCGCTTGAGCCCTTCCGTAACACACAACACACCATTCTCGTCATCAACTACGCTGCCGACTCCAACGATAATGTCCAAGAGGTCACAGACCCAGGACATCGCAACTCAAGACCCACAGGACTTCAGCTGCTCAGACAGCGTACTGCCGTTCACCATGGACCACTATGTGTCGAGCCCACAACCACTTGATAAGCGCTGACCGAACCTTATCATGCGGAATGATGCAAGGCCATGGACGCGGAACTTGTCTCTCTCCGCTCCCGCAATTCCTGGGTCCTGGTGGACTGTGAAGCACTAAATGAGAGGAAGATTCTCTACGGGAAATATGTCTATCGCATGAAGACCGATGCTAATAGCTACATCAAACGGTATAAGGCACGATGGGTCATTCCTGGCTATGACTAGCACACATGATCGACTTTGATCTCACGTACGTGCCGGTCAACCGTCGCAACTCCGTCTGCATCCTTCTCACCACCACCGTTTGCAAGTACATTTAGCTGTACCTGGAGAACGCGTTCCGCTATGTCGTGGTGGACGCACTCGTCTTTATCGAGCAGACGCACACCTACAGCGATGGGGATTCGTGGGTGTGCCAACTACACAAATCCCTCCACAGGATAAAATAGGCACTGCGTCTCTAGACGGCATCATCATCGACCTTGTCTTCACCCAGCTATCGCATGACCCCGCGACGTATCGACTCCGCTTTCATGGCGACTAAATCATACTCACGGTGTACATCGACGACCTCCTCTACACCGGCACCAGCCCTGACTTCACTAGGTTTGAGAAGAACCTCGGCCAGTGCGTCGACATTACCACCTTCTCTATCGTCACTCAGTTTGTCGGGCTAAATATCTCTTACTCGCCTGATGCCATCCACATCCCCGCATCTAAATACGCCAAAACTCTTGCCACAAAATTCGACTTCACCTCCGCACCTGTCTCGACTCCCTACAGCACGCCTGCCGTGGGATACAATCATGACATCAATGTGGTCTCTCATACTGCACACCAGTTCTACCAGCAGCAACCCGGCTACCTGCTCTTCGTCGCTGTAACTTGCCGCCCTGACCTCGCCTACCTCGCCAGCCAGCTTGTTCTTAATGACCTCAATGGGAGAATCTGCTAGACTTACAGCGGGCACTCCTATACTTCATTTCGATACCACACATCAGATTCACCTACTCTACTTTTGCTACACCCTCGTTCCAGCTCTTTGGTTACGTCGACCTTGTAAGAATCCCACTCATCGTTGCACCCGCGCAGGCTTCGTCTGGTGCCTATTCATCATATCTCCTATAACTCACAGAAGCAGGAGTTGGTTATGCTTCCTTAAGTTGAAGCAGAATTCATTGCCATCAATGCTGTGATAATTAGAGTGCAATCAAGATCGCCAACAAGCCCCGCTTTGTGAATCGCACAAAGCACATCGCAATGCAATATTTCTTCATCAAGGATGAACTTGACAATGACAAGGTGAACCTTTCTAGGTAACATGGCAGCTGACTTCCTCACCAAGAAAGTGCCTCAATAGTAGTATTAGCACTGCGCTGACCTCTGCGGAATCACCAAGCGTGCCCAAACCTGCTACATTCAGGAATGAGAGGAGTGCTACGATTAGGAAATAACTTGCGTTCTTGAAAGTAACGCTTGGCATGGTATCATCGTCCTGGGCCTTATAACCCCTTTTGGGTACGCACCTGTACCGAGTTGTGAAGGGCAACCGCTGACCGGTAACTCAGCAATCAGGTTTCTAAGAGTCCGGTATGACAGCAAGGATGCATATTGTTATTGACCCGTTATTACAGCACAAGCAGTTACTCGATTCGTGTACGGTTGCCAAGTCGATTCTCAGATCCAATGGAAGGTTCTATTAGAATAATGCTAGAAGAAGTGTGACTAGGAAAACCAAGGTAGCACTACTAGTCTGGCCTCCGGTGAAGGTAGCAAGACGACTCAGGGCAACACTACTAGTCTGACCACAGAGACAAGAGGCCACAAGGTCAGTTAGCAAGTGTAGCACCGCAACTCACGCAGCCGAAAGTACCGCAACTGGATGTGCTTCGCCCTGCCCTCAAGTCGAGCTTGTTGTAAAAAAACAGGACCGGGGTAGACCTAGGCGGTGAGCAAGAAAGACAGCCAGCAAAGCTCCTGAGTGACCATGGTCCTAGTGTACATCTCTGCCTCACAGCTGGACTGAGCTACAGATGAGGACCTAGTGGACCTCCACGAGATTGCACCAGCACCAAGGTTAATGCAGTAGCCATGAGAGGAAATGAGTGTCTCAAAGTCATCAGCCCACGATGCACCTGTGTTTCCAGTGAGCACCTGTGGCTCCCATCCTCCTAGCACAAGCCCCTGTCCTGATGTACTCCACGGATACCGTCGTATGCTCTTGGCAGCCGACCAGTGGACTGGTCGGTGCCTGCCTGTCGCAACAAAGCGAGCTAGGAGACTGAGAGGGTATGCTAAATATGATCGAGTGCATGTCATCAGGTACATGAGGCAATTCACAAGCTCTGTGTATGGACCACAAGCCTTGACTGGCTCAGCCGGATCAGGAGCAGAGAGCTTGTGATCCATAGGCAGAGGGGTGGGCTGTGTTGAGGAGGCAAAGGAGAGCACAGAAAGAATGGCAGTGCATGCAACGGAGAAGCCATCGGCAGCAGACAAAGGGAAAGCCCCAGCATTCGAGACAGCAGGCGCAGTCGGGACAGCTCGAGCAGAGCTGGAGGCAGGTGGAGAATCATCTAGCAGCACGATGGAACGTACTCAAACGGAGGACGATGTCGCACTAGAGGCGCCAGCAGCACCTGCCACAGGCGTGGCAGCAGGGTTGCACGCCACACCGTCATCGTCTCCAATGGCAGAGCCAGTGCTGCAGACAGCTGCAGCAGGAGCAGCAGGTACAGCAGCAGCTGTTAAATTATATGTGTTATATAATTGTAGGCTTGGTAGGTTATCGAACTCTACTGTAGAGGGTACAACTCCCTCCTTGTATGCCTCTCTCTCTTTTCTCTCGTCAACTTTCTCTCCTAGCTCCCTAACCTCTCGCGATTTCATGGCCGCTTACCTTCCTAGCTAACCTAGCTTTGTGACATGGTATCAGAGCAGGTTGCCCTTTCCGGGCCTGCTCCCCACGCTTCCGCCGCGTGCTTGTTTCTCTCTCTCTCTCTCTCTCGCTCGCGCTGCCATGGCGGCCGCGTCAAGCTGCTGTGGCCGCGTCGTCGTGCCGCCGGCCGCGTCGTGCTGCCGCGGTCGTCGCGACGCGCTGTCGCGGTGTCGCCGTCAAGCCGTGGCGGCGTGACGGCGCCGTCACGCTGCCGCGGCGTCTACGCGATAGCGCACGGACGGCAGCGGCCAGCGCCCCGTCTTAGCGCTGGCCAGCACGCCCGCATGCAGCCAGCGCGCCACACGGGGTGGCACGCTCCCGGGCTCCGCTGCTGAAGCCCGTCCCCCTTCCCCTGCGTCCCCTCGTCCTTGCCGCAGCCGACGGCTGACTCGCGCCGGCCGTCCCACCGTCGCGGAGCCCGGCCACGTCGCCGAGTGCTGCGAGCTCCGCCGCCGCCGGCAGCTGTCGTCGAAGCCGCCGCCGCCGCAGCTGGTGCAGCTGGCCACGCCGCCGCCGCCGCTGTCGACGCTGCCGCCGTTGCAGCCGCTGCCCTCGTTGTCGACGTCGCCCCACCTCACGTGCAGTAGGGTTGACCGTGCTGAAGTAGCTGTCGCTGCTGCTGAGTATGGGGGTGCTAGGGGGTGTGTGGCTTAGTGTGCTGTGTGTGTGGTGGGCTTGCCGCTACCAAGCCTTGGGGGTGTGTTAAATTATGTGTTATATAATTGTAGGCTTGGTAGGTTATCGAACTCTACTGTAGAGGGTACAACTCCCTCCTTGTATGCATTTCTCTCTTCTAGTTCATCTCTCTTTTCTCTCGTCAACTTTCTCTCCTAGCTCTTAAACCTCTCGCCATTTCATGGCCGCCTACCTTTCTAGCTAACCTAGCTTTGTGACAGCAGCAGCACCAGGGGTACCAGCTATTGAAGCCTCTGCAGCACAGAGCAATACCCAGGAGAATGCTCCGCGCCCCTGCCTTCTGCCTGCTTCCCAGTCTGCTGCTCGCTCTGCAGCGCAGGCACTGTCTGGCGCAGCGCGCCATGGCGGAAATCTGAGGAGTTCCCGCGTGAGTATTGGCTCAGATAGGAGCAGCCAGAGCAGCATGAGGAAGGATGATGACGGCCACAAGGAAGCGTTTGATCAGCTGGTCAATGTGGGGGTTGTCAAACATGTGTAGTCGTTATGTTTGTATAGACTGTATAGGGTCACCTCTTAGAGGGTACAATTCTTAGGTATATCTTTCAGTACTCTCTCACTAGTCATTATTCACTACTCTCATTCTGATATGGTATCACGCGTAGGTTAGGATCCCCCACCTACCGCTTCCGCTCGTCCCTTAGCCCCGTCGCGACCCCCTAGCCCCGTCGCGCCCCCCCCCCCCCCCCTCTGGCCCCTGTCGTGCCCCTAGCCCTGCCGCGCCCCTCCTGGGCCACGTCGCGACCCCCTAGCCCCGTCGCGACCCCCTAGCCCCGTAGCGACCCGCTGGGCCCCGTCGCGACCCCCTAGCCCCGTCGCGACCCCCCTGGGCCCCGTCGTGCCCCTAGCCCTGCCGCGCCCGTCCTGGGCCCCGTCGCGACCCCCTAGCCCCGTCGCGCCCCTCCTGGGCCCCGTCACGCCTGCAGGCCCAATCGCCCCCTGCCCGGCCCCGTCGCGCCCGCCCGGCCCCGTCGCACCTGCTCGGCCCCGTTGCGCCCTGCCCGGCCCCGTCGCGCCCGCCCAGCC